CTCGTGGAATCGAGGGGTAATCTGAAGAGAAAAGCCAAAGAAAAAATAAGCTCACTGATGAGGGAATCTAGATATAAAATATCCACGAAATCCGCAGCGCTTCAGTTTCCACTCGGTGGTCGAGATAGAAGTATCTCGCATCGCAAACGTCGTCGGGGAGTCAAAAGAAATTATCGAGAAGTATCACAGGGAAGAAGAGCAAAAAAGTGAAGAAGAAAAAGAAAATTCGTGCTGCTGGAAGAAAAACCAAAAAATCATCAGCTAGGAAACATCGTGGCAAGAAACGCGACGTATCCGACATATTCTCTTAATTGTGATACGATTTCACTGCTAAGGAGAAAAGCATGTCATTTCTTCATACCCACTCGAGCGAGTGTATAAAGAGCGAACTCGATCTCTTCTCTCTGCCACCTACGCAAACCAGCATTGAGAGTTCGCAATGGATTTATTACAAACCCGTAACTTCGCTCGCAGACGACTCGCCCATAGAATTCGTCATACCCGGACATGGAGAAGACTATCTGGACCTCACTCACACCATGTTGAGCCTTCGTATACGCGTAGAAAGCGAGCGCGGGGAGAACACGTCGGTCGCGCCCGATGGCGAGGCAAAAGTAGGCCCCGTAAATCATTTATTGCATTCCATGTTCAACCAAATCGACGTATATTTCAATCAAAAGCTCGTATCGCCACCAAACAACGCTTACGCGTACCGCGCGTACATCGAGGCGTTATTAAATTATGCTTCACCCGCAAAAACCTCCCATCTAACCTCTTGCTTATGGGACGCGGATATCCCTGGTTACATGGACGACACGCTAGACGCGACAAATCCAAATACAGCGCTCGAGAGACGCGCGCGATACATTCGAGGAAATCGCGCTCTAGATCTCATTGGTCATCTTCACTGCGACGTTTTCAATCAAGATAAATTTTTAATTAATGGAGTGGAGGTTAGAATGAGACTCGTACGCTCGAAAAATTCATTTTGTCTTATGGAGAGTAAAACGCTATCAAAAATACGCATTCTTGACGCCAGTCTACTCGTAAGAAGAGCAAAAATAAGCCCTCCTCACACACGCCAGAATACTGAGTAAAACTACCGCCAAGTATCCCCTTACGAGGGTCGAAGTTAAAACATTCACGATACACGCCAGCGTCGTGGGGGAGTCGATAGACAACGCAATACTCGGACAGCTACCAAAACGAATAATAGTCGGCTTTGTCGATAACAAAGCGTTTAACGGTGATAGAAAATTAAACTCGTTTAATTTCAAAAATTACGGAATAAATTTCTTTTCACTATACGCCGATGGTATGCAAATTCCGAATAGACCGATACAACCAAATTTTTCGAAAAACGACCCGCTCTACGTTGAAGCTTATCACACATTATTCTCCGGAACCGGTATCCACTTTTTGAACGAGGGCAATTCTATAAGTAGAGACGATTACGCCAATAGCCACTCTTTTCGCTTTCGATTTTACTCCCGATCTATCCGCTAATTGCGCGGGACATTGGAATCTCGTAAAACACGGAAGCTTACGATTAGAAGTGAGATTCGAAAAAGCTCTTTCTGCGACTATTAATTGTATCGTCTATGCCGAGTTTGATAACGTTTTAGAAATCGATTCCTCGCGTCAAGTTATTGTCGACTTTTCCGGTTAGTTACGGGGGGTAGAACGGCTTTCGTGAGAAAATTATTTTCCCCTCCCCCCCGTACTACGTATTTTTTCTCGTCTAATTGGACGCGAGAATACGAAAAAGCTTCAGTCTTGTTCGTGACACCAACGCCAGCGTTTCGTAATGTAAAAAAGAGTAGCGAAAATTCGAATATAATATCATAATGGATATAGTCATCGACATACAAGGTTTTCGCGATGTCGAAGAAAACTTTATTCCGAAAGAAGTCGCGGTTCTAGCGATTAACGCTGCGATCACCGGACATTGGATTATGACGTCACCCTGTCCATTTGAAGATTTACCCGTGAGAGCAAAACGAGAAAACAACTGGCTCACACGAAATTATCATGGAATCGAATGGTTCGATGGAGACGTCAATCCAAAAAACTTTACGATACATCTGCGTGACATTACACGACACGCTCGCTACATCTATACCAGAGGACAAGAGAAGACTCGATATCTGAGCAATCTACTTTCTAGAAACGTATATAATCTGGAGGGAATTTCGCCGGCTTTCAAAAATCTACCAGATTTCGAGGACCGTGGACAACGCTGCACGCATCACGGATTTCGAGCCAGCGCCGAATCACACTGCGCCTTACGCAACGCTTACAAATTGAAACGCTGGCTAACTGTACGACGTAGCAACAATTCAAGTTATGATAACCTTTCCTCGGGAAATTGGAGCGAGAGCGTCGTCGAGAGCGAAGAAACCGACAGCGAGAATTCTTCTTCAATTCAATTTAAAAATCAGAAACACGATATCGCTCGCAACATTGAAGCGACGAAAAAGACGAATCATAGCGCGGACAAACAAGTGACAGACGAGGAGAAAAAAGACCTCTCAAAATTCGACTCGTTGACCGATAGAGATAAAGCTAGCACCAACGTCTCGCTAGCATCGAGCATTTTAGGGAGCTCCACGTCGCATACATCGGCAAAAGAGGTACACTTTGAATCTACGCAAACATTTCCTCTCTCGCGCTCTCCGACGACGAGAAATGAATTCGCGGGAAGTTTTAGACGCATTACATCATCTCCGTGTACGACATGCAGGGGTCTATCCTGCCGATCGACTGCCGAGGGTGTGGACGAGGTCGACCGCCATTGTCGCTAACACGGACAATCACGATCGACCCGGGCAACACTGGGTCGCCTTCTACATCGATGAACGCGGGACAGGAACGTATTTCGATAGCTACGGCTTGCCGCCCTTGGATCCAAGATTCCTCTTACGACTTCGACGAAACTCCACCACGTATCGCTGGAATACGACAACGCTGCAAGGAATATTTTCTCAAACTTGCGGACAATACTGCTGTGTATTTCTATATTATTTGTGTAATGGCTATAATCTTAATCAGTTTCTTGATCTGTTTACCTCTGATTGTAAGCGAAATGATCGTTTGATACAGTTTTTCATAACAGTTTGTACAGTTATTTCATAAAATTTTTCTTCATTGTAAACATAAACTCGTAAATTCTCATGTTGTATGCCATCATGTTCAAACGTGTACTCTTTTAAAAAAATAAAATAACTATTTTATGTAATATCTTTTTTAAATAAACGTTTTTGAACTTGTAAATATTGCCTTGTTTCTTACTCCTATCCCTTCAACCTCATTTACATTAAATACATTTTCCCCGTATTACAGACTCAGATAATGTACATTACATATACTAAATATAGAAAAAAATTTTTTTTAAAAGCAATGCTCGAAGACGACGCGCCGCAACTGCTGAACGTGTTCGTTCCTGTTTTACCTCTCCCCCAAAATTCTTCTGAACAAAAGCAAGTCTCTCTCTAGACCTACAAATTTTCCGTATAAGATTTCCTTTATCAGACATTCAGCGAATCGCCTACACGTCGAAGACGTTGCCCCCCGCGACAACAAAAGCGACTGTCATAAGATTAGACTGGTATTCATCCCCCCTCTGTTCGTACTCTAGCCGGGCGACAAAGAATGCTGAAGTCCAAATCCCCACTCACCATTTTTCAAACCTCTATTTCGTCTAAGGCCCTATGCCACCCACCCTCTCCAATCACCTTTTGGGTAGGTATGGGACGAACCAATCAAATCTTGGGTGAGTATAGGGCGAGCCAATCAGAACGCGCCATTTCGTCTGACTGACCCGTCTAGGCCACGCCCATGGCGCCAGAGGGAGACGTGGAGGGGGTTTGTTGTGACGCCCCATGGATACCCATATACTACTTGCGTTTGAAGGTAGCTATAGAAGAAAAACGATCAGAATGGGTGAATAGGCATAGAAAATTAATTTTTCAACATGACAACGCCAGATCGCATACTGCAAAAGTCGTGAAAACATATTCAAATGGACAGGATTGGGAAGTGCTACCCTACCCGCC